GTTTCTTTGGACCAGTTTTCACATGCTTTTATTAGTAGTAAATGACTACACCTCAAAAGATTTATTCTTGTTCATTATTCAGTTTTTAAGTATATGTAATATTTCATATGTTTGTATAGTAAAGCTATTCAAGTGATACAACAATTTCTGTAACTGTAAAACTACATCAACTCTATCATTTCATTTTTATTACATTTCAGACAATACTAGGTCTAAATAGATAGAATATTTATGGTGTTATGCACAACTTTGATGACTCATTACTTATATAAAAATAACTAGTTTGTATGATCTCTAGAAATAAAAATAACTTGCTCTGTACAACTTTTCCTCTTATTTATTCATGTTCAATTTCTGAAAAAAAATTGTCCATGAATTTGAAAAGCGATATGGTTTGGAGGGAGGTAAGGGAAGGGAGAAATGCTATAAATATATTATAATCTCAAAAATAAAAGATATAACAAATTTAAATTGACCAAGAAAAAAGCAGCTGTTTGAAAGTATGTAGAAACCTGATTATGAATACCACCTAAATAAAATGATTCATTTTTTTATGAATTGCTAAGTACATGCTTCAGGTATCATTTTTATTGTCTCTAAAGCTATTTGAGTAGATGTGTTACTTGCACTATATTACAAGGTTGGGCCTAGTGCTGTGCCTCCAGCTGCAAAAGGTAGACTTGGTGGCTCTATAGAAAAATCATTTCCTGCCTGGCTAGTTATCTACAATGGAACAGCTGTTCTGACTCCAATATTTCCTTAGAGAACCTCCCCACACAGGCCTTGGGTCAAAACTTATAATAGCTTTTCATAAATAATGAGAATTTTAAAGAATTGACTTATGATTGGCATAAGATAAAATGCATAGACTGTAGATCAGTATTTATACAAATGGACTTTGGACTCCCATCCAACAATGTGAGATGCACTCTCACCCTGAACTCTTGTGGGAGGGTACAGGCCCTGCCCTGGATGAAATGACAGACTATGGACACCCCCATGGAGGGCCTCACCCTACCTGAGGAAATGAGGGGATATTGAGGGGGTTGGTGGGAGGGCACCGGAGGAGGGGAGGGAAACGGAGAGGGACCTGGAATTGACATGTGAAGCAATCTTGTTTCTAATTTAAAAATAAAAAATGCATAGACTGCAAGTGATCAGGTCAATGAATTTTAACAAATGCATACACTGTGTATCTACCCCAAGACAAGATAAAAATATATTTCCTTTACTCTGTAAATTTCCCCCTTGCCCCTTTCAGTAAACTTTCCTTTCACTTATCACACAAGAAAAATACAGTTTCTGGGTTATATCACTGTACATTTTAATAGGCTGTTTTTGTACTTTAGTAGAACCATACTATAAATATTGCATTTGGCTTCCTTCACTCAGTGTAACCCTATGAGTTTTTGCATGGTGTATATCTTTAGTTTCTTCTTTTGCTTGATGAATAAAATGTATTCATGGGCTGAACTGTTTATTCAGCATCTCCTGTTAATGAGACAGGTTGTTTCCGATTGTGGTAAGCATGGATAAGACTACTCCAAACAATTTTTTGCACAAGACTTCCTGAGAGTATCTGTGGAATTGATATTGACATTGAAAACTTTATTAGAAAACTTGCCCAATGTAATAGCACAATTAAGTTCTCTCACCAGCAATGTTTAAGACTGGAAATTAAGTGGTCTTGATCATATTCTATTTTTATGCAAGAAATTATAGTTGTAAATTATGTGTGTCTTACTTTAGGGTTTCAATTGCTGTGATAAAACATGACCAAAGGAACTTGAGTAGGAAAGGGGTTGACTTACTGTCCTGAATCACAGTCTGTAGAAGGAAGTCAGAGCAGAAACACAAGGCAAGACCTGGAGGCAGGATCTAAAGCAGAGGCCATGGACGTGTGCTGCTTATTGGCTTGCTTCCCATGACTTTCTCAGCCTGCTTTCTTACAGAATTCAGTATCTCCAATCCCAGGGTGGTCCCACCAAAAGTAGTAAAGGCCCTCACACATCAAAAACTAATTACAAAAATGATCTTTAGGCTTGCTTACAGCTGAATCTTAGGGAGAGAATTTCTCAGTTGAGGTTCTTTCCTCTTAGATGACATTAGTTTGAGTCCAATCGACATAAAACTAGGAAGCACAAAGTATAAATAAAAAACAGAACCTTAAAAAAAGCCACAAGGTGGGCTAGGGATGGGTTTGAGTGGTAGAGCATTTGCCTATTGTGAGGTCCTGGGTTTGGTTCCTTGGACCACAAAAGGGTCATGAGCTAAGTTATTATCTCTCCTGTAATGTAATGTCCAGGTATTTTAAATCAGATGTTATGGTATTTGATTCATCTTGTGGACACAAGTCGTACTTTCATTCAGGTTTCTCCATGTGGTGAAATTCAACTGGTATTCTGAGAGAACAAAGACCCAAAGCACTCCACACTTTTATTTACCCACTTATTCTTTCTCTTCACACAGTAAGAAGGAAACAATGCTCTGAAGAACATTGTATATTTTGTCCCTGGCACATTTTCAGTAGTCTCTTGTGTGCTTCCCTACAATTTTTAACAGGTAGAGCTGGTGTAATTTTTTCCATAATTTCCTGTTAATTTACCTTGACTCTCAAATATTTAATTTCTTATCTTAACTTATTTCTATCTTAAATTCATAGTCAGATTTTTAATAAAGTATTTTCTTCAGCCTCCCATTTAATTTTACTAAGAACAAAATGCACTTGATTAAAGAATGGTTATGTGTATTTACTTTATTAAACTGTTACATTAGGGATAAAGAACTAGACAATGAGAAATGTGACTGTGATTATTTTTCTTAATTGTTACAGGAAAAATGTTATCACGTACAAGCATGCACATATACACAAACACATTCTCTCTCTGTTATACACACACACATTCTTGTGAGAAAATGATGACCATAATTTCCAAATTATTTTCTCTACACTGCTTCATTCCTGTTATTATTTTACCCCATGTATGAGAATTTAGGAGGGAATTTGTTACCTAATAATATGTATTATTGCAATTCATGAATTATTTTAATGTTCTTAATCTAAGCTTTTATTGACTGTGGTATAAATTATATCACCCATTCCTTCACAGTTTCCCAGTTACAGAATCTAAAATGTTATTTTAATATTTTAATTTAAGGAATGACTATATGTTGTGTGACCCTATTGCTAGGGAGATGTGAACAAAATGTTAATCACTCCAGGGAGGAAAATGATGACAGAACAAAATAAGGATACCACCAAAAATTAATTGGGTGAACCAACGACTTTTACTAATGTTACTGATAGCCAAAATAACTCAAACGACAGCAGCATTAGCCAAACGCACCCTGGCACGAGTGACAGATAGCTCATGAAAACTAGAAGCCTAAAAGCACCCTCGACAGCCAGCCAGCAGGCAGCACAATAGGTGGGGAGAGTGTCCTTTCCCAGTGACTCAGTCTGAACGTCTTTCAGGTAGCTTGGCTAGTTTTTGCTACTTCTAGGCAGCTGGTTTGGTCTCAGAGACTTTGCAGTCTAGCTTACCTGATAGTGACTCTCGATGGTCTTTTTGCTCATTCTGGCCAGGAGAGGCCAAATAAATCTGGTTTGAGTTGTTCCTTCCTGAGCTTAAGAAAGGGATGTTCTATTTTCCTAAAACATGCAGTTGCTTCGCCTCCTTTTAACATCTTCTGTGCTAGTGAGCTTCGTTCCAAGATGTTAGGTTTCCTTCTGAGACAAAACTGCTATGAACAGCACTAAACTTACTGATTTAAAGAAACTATTGCTTTTCAAGCTTAACTTCAAGAAACAACAACTACCCAGCAGCAACACCATTTAGTCTACGATAATCAATGACAACACGCATACACAAGCGTTTAAGCACAGTGAGTTTCAATACATGGACATGGGTACTTACTGTTTACATACAATCAACCTAAATCTTGTAAAAATCTTCATAAGCTCTAAAGAAGAAAATGTATCTATTTTATTCCAAATTTTGTCTGATCATTTTTGTTGTAATATCAGCATTCAGTATGATAATGGAGAGCTTGTATACAGCAAATGTCGAAATTTTTTCCTAATTTAGACTTGTGTATATAAACATGTCTAGAATAATGTAAGGGAAAGTAAAGAAAAATAAGAAAATAATATAGTATCTTAATTAAAAAAAACATTTCCAGAACATTTTGCTGTAATATCCACTAGGAGGCCCACTTTTTAAATGCAGTTAATCTTTCTGTCATCAAGATTATGCTAACACACCTGGGCAGTACTCGTTACAGAAAAATGGACATCATAAGTCATTACTTGTTGCAGAAGAAATCAGATAGCATTCACTAGGTAGTTCTGCCAACCCTCTATGCATTAGTGTACATGTCTTCTAGGAACTATACTATTTTGTCCCCTTTATTTCAAACCTTAAACCCAACTCCAAAGTAACAGCTCAGGTAAAAAATGATCAAGACTCATATGCAGGTGATCATAGATTTTTATCAACTCCAAACACATAGTACACAGGACCTCCTCAAGGGACATGTATACATGTAAAAGTTGCTGCACTGCGGCCAATGCAATATGGTAGTTTTCAATTATATATTTACAATATTTTTAGTCCAGATGCAATGTGTAAACCAAATTCATTTTTACCAAAGTAGTGTTACTAAGCAATGCTGTCACATGTCACCTTATCCAATTACCATGAAAACAGAATTAAAAGGTGAAGATGGATTAAATCCTCATACAAGATGAGTATGTCGGTACATACTTATGATCCCAGGCTGAGGCAGGTGGGTCACAAGTTCAAAGCCAGCCTAGGATACACGGTGAGAACCCATTTCAAAAAAATAAAAATAAAAACAAAACAATTGTCACAGAAAAGGGAACGAGATTGTTTTAACACATCTGGACTCATTTGCAATAACATTAAAGTAAATAGAATTCCATGGTTTTCATATGTGATTATTGTATAATCTCCATTGCTTTCTCCCCCCCCCCCTAGAGTTAATGTACACCGTTGAACTTGCTGGAGGGCTTGGTGCTATTCTCTTGCTGCTTGTTTGTTTGGTGACCATCTATAAATGTTACAAGATAGAAATCATGCTGTTCTACAGGAATCATTTTGGAGCTGAGGAACTGGATGGAGGTAAGATGATTTCCCTTCCTTCTGAATATGCTTCTTTCCTGCCTTCATTTTTATCCCAGCAAAAGAAAAGTTATGCGCATCTTTGTAAAACCATTTTTGTACGGAAATATGTGTGTTAATTTCGTGCCAGTAGGTAGTTTTCTCTGCAACTTGTCTAGTAACATCTACCCTTTTTAGAAGTGTATTCCAAACAGCACTTACAAATTACAGACACTGATTGCAATGCCATAGGCATGTTCATTTTCTCTCACCTTGTAATCACTACTGAAATGCCAGCTTCACTTTTCTATAGTAAGGTGTTTCTCTTTTAATTGTCTTCCCTAGTTGGGTAGTTTGAAGTGAATTTCAATTTGTTCTTCTGTAGACTGATAGCTGCTTTATTAAACTGTACTGACTATTTTAGCATTCTTCCAAGAGGCTCGTCAGTCTTGTCCATCTCTCTATTTTTAGAGACTAACTGTCATTCCAAGGGTAGACCAACAAAAAAGTACAAAGCCACATTGTTTTGATAATAACACATCTAACATTTTGGCTCCTACTGAACAAGTAAACGCTGTTTTTATAGAAACAGTAATTATCATTCACCTCTGGCCAGCCAAGAATGTGTGTACATCTAAAAAGAATTTAGGGTTCACAAAATTGACCTCCCACCACCATTCATTAGTGACCTCAAAGGTCCTTTGTGTTCTACGGAGGTCATTCAGAAAACATAAGCTAAACTTGCAAAATAGCACTTGCAAAGTGACAATCACTAGTGGAAATGATTATGGTTTCTCGGTTATATTGGTAAACGTTTTTCTTTGTCAGTTTTGCACTAAGCAGTGCAAAAGAAAATGAAGCCTTATCCCTGTTGCATACTTCCAGAGTCCTCCATAGCAGTCCATAGGCAGAGCTGTCAGTTTTCAAACTTGTAGAAAAGAGCAGTTTATTGGCATTGCCAACAGTCCCCTCCATTTACCCTTCTCCTGTTGCCACTGAGGCAAAGGCTGGGCTGCAGCAACACTACTGTTTTGGGGAGTTTTCTTAAAGCAATGATTTTTCTTAGTTGTTTCTTGTTTATATTTTCCTCCCTGTTCACAAAAATTAGTATATTTGGGTTGTTTCAAGAATATATTAGGATACTGTCAATATGAGTGCAGTAATCTATGTGCCAGGCATCTTAAAGCCATCCTTACTAAACTCCATAAAAATTACAAGTGCAACATTCTAATCTCCATTTCATTTATAAGGTAACCAAGGCTCTCAGAAGTTAAATAATTTCTTCAGAATGATAATTCAAGTATTACTACAAGTGGCTAAGTAAATCTACTTCCCCAAATCTCTTATTTTTAAAATTTAATATACTCAGAATCTCTGAAGGCATGTTGTTGTTTGTGCCATTAAAAGTAGATGTTACTTTATACAAGCAGTTTATCTAAACAATTCTCACATTATCTATTAACCTTACTTTAAATACGTTTATTTTTGTTCAGAATGATTTGGATGATTTTACCCAAACCATCAATTTCTAGTGCAGGGCTTATCTGTCATTTTCTGAGTGTAAATGATAGAATTTAATAAAACAAATCAGAACCATAGTCAGTTGAATTTCTGCGATTTGAAATTTATTTTGAGGAACCTTGCTACTTATTCACACTGGAGTGGGCTACTTGTGGAAGCCAAATGGATTTTTGTTGCTGTTCTGGAAGCATTTGGGCCTTCTGGTTTTTGGTTTTTGTTTTGTATTGTTTTAGGTGAGAAGACAAAACTAAAAAAAAAAGCAACAAACAGTATCTTATCAAGTTAAGTTTTTTCTCAGAAAACTAATTTAGTTTATAAATGCCCTACGATTTAGTAAAGCCCGTCCTTCAGGCCATCTTGAAGATAATCAGGGCTATAAGGACTAGGGCTTTCTTTCAGATGCTCCTGTGAATTCAATAAGCTCAAAGAGAGCCAAGGTAATAAACTTAATTATCATGTGGGTAAGATTAATGTACACATAATATGGCTAAAGAGGAAAAGAACGCAAAGACTGCTTAAACCAAGAGTGTTGGCATGGTTTTATGAGAAAGACTTTATACTGCAAGTGCAGTGATCCTCCCTGAGCTAAAACAGTCCTGCTCCTGCTGGTGTGGTCACCGGAGCCCATCCTTAATCCACGTTACTACAAGGGACCTGACTCTTACAACATCCAGAAACAGTGTTTCTTTTGCAGTAATATAACAATGTAACCACTTTGGTGCTGTGGCGATAGCTCGGTGGTCAAGAATACTGGCTGCTCCTGCAGATGACCCAGGCTGAGTTTCCAGCACTTGCACGATGGCTTCTGGAGAAAAAAGATACAAATCCTTACTCTGACAGATTCTGCCTCACACCGTGTGTGCTACTATCACTCTCTTACCCTTTCTAGTGCCCAGAAACCCCCTTCTCAGAAGCCCATACAATGTCATAACCTTAACGACATTCCTTTATGTCTTAAGTAATTACCTAATCTAAGGGTGACAACTGTTTTGGAAAATATCCATTCCTTATATTTCTAGTTCCTCACAGTCTTTTTCCTCTGCCAAAGATGATGCCTAGTAGCAGAAATGCCTGGCCTTTCTGTGGTTTTTGACTTTTAAAAAATGCAGAATTTAATGATCGAAGGTGAGCCCATTTCTTCCTTCCTTCCTTTCTTCTTTCCTTCCTTCCTTTCTTTCATTCTTAGACATTTTATCAATATATTGATTCTAAGAAGGAATTTTTGAAAACTGTCTTAGAAGTAACAATAGGTGAAGAACATAAAGAAGAATGTGGAAATAAAGATTAGCTGATAGGCTACAGGTACATAGTTCACTGGTAGAACACATGTCTACCACACATGAGGCACTGGATTCCACCTCAGTCTCTGAAAAAAAAATGGGTTTACTAGTCTTCTGAAGAGACAGTCTAATGTATTGGCATGATAATAACACATTCATTACTTAACAAATACTGGATTGATTAATTTATTTTTACTTTGCCACACAAAACTAGAAGGAATTTTAACCCAAGTCTTAATGATTCCCATCCCCAGAATTTTATTCAAGGTACCAGATTGGAAAATGGAGAATTTAGCATCAGGAAACCATTAAGCCAGTTTCTTTCAAGTCATTAGAGTGTGGTGTACTTCCTGACTCGATGAGTCCTATATCATAAAGATCCTGATATAAAAGGATTATATTGTTTTAGTTGTTTTCAGGATATAACATGTTCATGCATTGCTTTCTTCATTTGGCTCCAATCAACTACTCAATCCTTCATAGAAATAGCAGATTATTTTGTTATCTGAATTCATACATTGCCACTTCTTTTTTTTTTACTTCATTACTCCTAAATTTTTGGATATTTATTGTACTATTGTCAATTGTGTTTATGAACATATAATTTTTAAATATCAGCATCCTACATACAGTTCTGTTGTTTTAGTATAACTTTTTTATATGTTGACTATTTCCACCAGGTTAAATACCAAACCTAGGTTTTATATTACTTGCCTTTCGTGATCATTCTGCATCATTCCATCTATTCCTCAGTTCTTCTCTATCTCAGTGGCCACGATTTTCCCTAAATTATCATCAGTCAATACCACCTCATGCCAAACTTTTGTCTTAATTACAACTACCTTTTATCAGTCTCCTCCTTTACTATCTTCTTGCCTTTATATTTTATGTGTCTACATTAACTTTCACATTCTCCATAATTATCTTCCCAAGTACAAATTAATTGTGACTTCTGTTTTCTCAAGCCTCTGACAATAAAAATGCCCCATTTTTCCTACCAGAGCATATCTAGCCATCCCAGCTCAGAAAGTAATTGCTTTGAAATCATAGATTAAGTCATGCTTGTAGCATTGGCACTCCTTTAAGGTCAAAACATGCTGCAAGTATGTTTTTGCTTCTTCGTCAAAGACAACTATTGAGAACTAGCCTAAGGCAATGTAATTATGCATTATTCTAAGATTATTTTAACTAAAATAGGTATCTATAGAGGTTAAACAGTAGAGGGGTAGTTTACATAATGTCCCACCATAATTATTACATAATAAAATTTTACTTTACACAAAATCTGCTATATGTACATTTTTTAAATATTATATGCTGCTGGACAGTGGTGGCAAACACGTTTAATCCCAGCACTCAGGAGGCATAGGCAGCAGATCTCTGTGAGTTTGAGGCCAGCCTGGTCTACAAATTGAGCTCCAGACCAGCCAGGACTGTTACACAGAGAAACCTTTCTCGAAAACCAAAACAAACATATGCTGAGCCTGGTGGTACATGCCTATAGCCCCAGCACTTTGGAAGAAGAGATCAGCAGTTTCTACACAGAAACTTCCAGATAAGGCACAGATACACTGTGGGACCCTTTCTCATAAAGAAAACAAACAAAAATTTAAAGAAGTTCAAGTCCTGGAGAAAAATAAGTGTTGGATGTGTATTTTTGTGTTCCAAAGGAAAGAAAATTTTTAAAGAAAATTTCCCTTGAAGCTAGTATACCACCATTCCAGACACAGGAACTAGAAATCCAGCTGCTGTCTCCCAAACATCCTTTTCTGGGTCACAGGACCATGGTGGAATTTAACCTAGACTTCTCCAAGGATATTGACCCTGATATATACTTGTAAGGATGGGTATATCTCCAAAATATGTTAAGTCTTCCATGGATTTCAAAGGTTATATATTTAATATAAAGCAACTAATTTTAGCACTGGAGCCTGATTTTTTTAACTTCTCTTGAGCTAATTAGTGAATCACCTACTTTTAATCAGAAATGGAGGTATTTAAAATTTTTAAAGTAGCTCCCTCTAGAACAGTGTCATGTTCTAATTAAATAGCTGAACATCATGATAAGGGAGACCTAGTGTCTCCAGAGAACTTATACCAACACAATACCTTAGTCTACACTAGAATAAATTAAAGAGAAAGAAAAACATCAAAATATCAGCCTCCTTTGGTTTTGCATGCCTTTGCCTGGGGTTTCTTTTACAGGTTTATTTAAAAATG